GTATTTTTAAAAATTATTATTTTAAACTATATATGTCTAATAGTCTCAAATCTGAGAGACTTTATTGCTACATTTTAGGTGTCTAAACTTCTGAATTCTGGAGTATGTTTAATACATAAAGAACTAATAACATTATTACAAGACGAATCACTGGAGGTAATATCTTCTTACTCTTTGGTTTTTACTTCTTTTATGTTAAGTCCAAACGTATCAATGCCTTTCTCCCCCTGCTTCTTAGGAATTGCATGAACTCTTTCAGTTGACCAGCCACAGAGGCTTCAAATCAACTCAGACTGGAAACTGAGAAGATCTTTAAAAATACTAGGATTTAAAATATATTCAGATTCAAAATTTAGTACATGTATGTTTGTTTAAGGAAAATTTAAGAAGTGCCCAAAAGTAGACAAATGAGTACCTTTAATTCTAATCACTGTTACTATTTTGTTATATTTTTAAATTTTTCTATTTTTTTCTATATAAATGTTATTTTTTTTATGTAAAGGTTTTTATTTTACACAATTATAATCATTTATCACATTTTATATCTTTTTTCTTTTAGCATTGTTTGGAGCATATTTTATAATCGAGTATGTACTTGTGAAGACTTTGAAATACTTTTATTTTGATGCTATATTTAGTAGATCCCATTCACCTAAATGACTACTAGCTTGCCAAAGCTCAACTCATCAATATTTTGATATTACTGAGGGTAGTATCTGATTTAAAATGCCTTTCAAAAGTTGGGAGGCAGTGTTCGAGCATTGGACAGTTTTTGAGTTAGTTGTGTAGAAGTAGCTCTTTCAGGTTTAGACTATTTGAACAGTATCAACAGGCAGGTACACTAATCTCTTTCCAAAGGTAGATTGATCAGGCAGTTAACTATGTTTCTAAGACTTTCCAACAAGAAGATGGCAGAGTAAGAGAATACAAACTTCCAAAATGTTGTTTGGTAAAAACACTATTACTCTGTAGAAATTGACATGTGGAGTTAACTAATCTAGAAAAACATAGTAATCACTATAAGATAATCAATATCTCTATTAAAAGGTACTAGATGCTCTTATAGATCATCTTCCAGAAATCTTGGAACTTATGTCTACTGGTGGAGAAAGCAGTGTTCAAGAAAATAAGGTAAATCCCATCTTTCAAAAAAGTTTCTGAACTTTGTATTCTTCTCTGCAGGGTTGTTGTGAGGACTCAATGAAAGAATGAACGGAGAGTATTTAAAGTAGTGCTTACCACATAGTAGGTGCTCAGTAAAAGTCTGTTGGAGTTTGAATAGCTTGAATTTCCTCTACAATTCTTACATTAACAATTTTTCTATTACTATGATTCTTATTTATTGTCTTTGGAGTTTGTATTTTCATTTTTTATTAGCATTAGTTATTATTCCAAGAATAGCAAATAATGAGGACAAAAGGGTAGGAATTTACAAGGTCAAAGCTTGCTCACAGTAATAATATATAATAAATTTTACTTTAGTTAGAAGGGTTGCTATGGTAATCAGTCTGACAGGAAGAATGATGAGTCCTACTCTCTCCTTCAAAATTTGGTTTCCAGGAAGTATAAATTTTACTTATAGGTTTTTTAAAGAAGACTTTTTAAGATAATTATCTTCTTGTGAGAACTGAGATGCCTTCTAAATTCTGAAATGAGCAGGGATATTCCCTTCCCCAATGTATTATAAGACTGAATAATTTTATTGAATGCTGCAATTGATTTACTTAATTATAATTGACTGTTTTGATGTTTCTTTTTTAGTTACCCTCTCTGCCTGACTTGATTCCAGCACTCACAGCTGCTGAACAGAGAGCTGCAGCCTCTTTAAAATGGAGAACTCATGAGAAGCTACTGCAGAAATATGCCTGTCTGCCACATGTCATATCCAGTGATCAGATATATTACCGTTTCTTACAAAGAATGTTCACCATCATGATGACAAATGTGAGCACAAGACATTTCATTTTATTCTTTTGAACTCATGGTTGATTTTAGAATTACCAAATTCTTCACATTCTCAAAATATACGACAAACTCAGTTCATTCCATTCTGCGTAGGAGGACATCATCTTCCCAGGTCCCAAAGAGGAAGCTCCAGTTTCCCTTTGCTTCTCTGGTCCTTCCTCTGAGCATCTTCTCCCTGGCTGGAGAGAGGGTGAACTGGGGGCACTTTTTGTTTATATACTTCCAGGGACAGTGTAAATAGACACACTTCAAACTTGATATAGTTCTTGAAGAGGGAGGTTGACAGGACAGTGGTCTCGGCCGCAAAGGACCTTCTGCCCTGACGTGCACCTTTGACGTATCCACAGCTTTGGTGTCTGACCTCAGCTACGCCATTTCCAAGGCATCCCTTACATTTAAAATAGTGCTCGGGTTCTTAATATTAGTTTAGTTACTTTTTCTTTTATGGTACCTGAAGGGTGGCTATGGAACAGATGAATTTTATACCAAAAACATTGATGCCCTACTATGGATAACCTTATAATTAGAGTCGAAAGAAAAAAAAAGACCCATCCCTCAAAACAAGGCAGTGCTCAAACCTCCCCATAAAATTAGTTGTCTACTTTTTTCACAGAAATTTCCAGAGAGGATTATTTTATTCATGGTTCACTATACATTTAATATGACATCCATTACCATTTTTTAAGTATAAAAATGTTCCATATATTTCTGTTTTAGAAACTGTTAAAAAGTATTTTAAATTCTCATTGTTTGTTCTCAATAAAAAGGAGATGAGTTCTAGCAGCCATCTCAAAAACCCAAAATCAATTTTACCTTCAAAGATTTAAAAAAGAAAAAAATTATATTATTGGTGTTATTTATAACTTAAGTAAAAAAGTAATAAGAACACATTTTATTAACTAATACCCCTTCAAGTTTATTTCACATATCAAAGGAAAGCCTAGGGAATGAAGGTTATATTGTAGATGCAACCATCTTAAAAAGTGATTTTGACAATAGCATCCTTATGAGTTTTACGTTTGATAGCATGAATGTACCACATAGAACATTTCACATAGAGTTGAACAGAATTTATTAATTAATTTTATTCAGCAGTTAGTTGTTTGAGTGCCTCCTATATGTCAGGCACTGTTCTAAGAGCTGGGTATATAGGAGTGAACAAAACAGACAGAATCCTGCTCTAATGGAGTTTGCATTCCAAAGCAGTGGTGGTGGGAGTAAGAGATAATAAAATAACCGTATTAACAGGTGGTGATAACAGGTGCTCTGAAGTTTAATCTTAATAGTTGGTCTCAACCTAATTACTTGGTAGGCATGTTTGTGTTTAGAAAGCTGAAGATACATAATTATTGTGTATTCTTAGCTTCTCTTATTAGGAAAGAGAAATGATTACAGTGTACAGTGTGGACAAGTACTTTTTAGCCTGAGATGTTTGTTTTATTGTTTTCTTTTACAAGGAGCTAATTCCTCACTTTAAAGGAAATACATGATTATTATAGCATATTTTCCATGCTCAGAACACATATTAAAAAAAATTTATATTTTTAGTTCTGTACCTAATGGTCAGAATATTCATTTGTTCATTCATTCAATAAAACTTATTGGGTGCTTCCTATGTGCCAAGCACTATTCTAGGTGTCAGGAATACAGTAGTGAACAAGAGAGACAAAGAACCTATTTTCATAGAACTTACATTCTGCTGGGGGCATTTAACAAAAAATAACAGTTATTCTTTAATATCATTTAATATCCAGTTCATATTAAAATTCGACCAATTATCTTCCAAATGTCTTTTACAGTTGTTTTAATCCATGTAGGATCCAATTAAGATCTCTATCTTAAGATAAACAAACAAACAAATAGTATGTCAGGGATGAAAAGTTCAGTGAAGAACTACAAAGCAGAGTTGAGGAGGAGAAAGCAGTGGAGGCTAGTAGGATGCCATTGTGAATACAGTGGTGAGGACCAAGTATGCTTTGTGTGGAGGCTTGAGCAAAGTGAGGCAATGAGCCATGCAGATGGCTGAAAGACACGCGGTCCAAGCAGGGGGTAGTGACTGCAAACGTTTGAATGAGGATGTGCTTGGGCATGTGGGGAGCAGCGCGGAGGCTGCTGTGGCAAGTGGTAGAGAGCTGGGGCTAGCCAGGTGGCTG